TGTATAAATTTAGATATATTTTTTATTATTTCTGATGTTTGTTGTACTGTCATGATTGATGATGAATAGATCGAAAGTTTTCAAGAAAAAATAACAAGATGTGAGCTATATACTGTAATGGATAGTTTGCATACAGAAATTAATCAAAGTTCCAATACTTACCCGAAAATCTAACACGATAGTTGGCCCAACAAGATATTAATCAAAAGTTCAAATGATGTCATTTACCGAGACAGAGAAGCGCTGCTTACACTGCTTATACGGGGTCTAAAAGCGGATACTGAGCATGAGGTACTACCATGTTCATGAATTAGAGGACAGAAATTTTACATATCAATATTTCAATAGGCCTAACACAAGGAATCGTGCGGCAGCTGGCCTTCATCATACCTCATGAGGGTAGGTCGCCCACGTCGCACAGAGCGCCGGCGTCGTCGCCCACCCGCCTCCCCATGCACGACACCAGCAACCCGTAGGCGTGCATTGTGGTTCGATATTCCACCCGAATCGCGAGCGTGACGTCGAAAACCCCCGCCGCGCGCCGCACGTCGGCCGCAAGGCCGTCGAGCACAGGCCCTGGCAGCCACACCCGGGCACCCCGCGCGACGACGGTCGTGCTCATCCTGCCGCGCCCGAGATCGCAGAGTTGTGGCGCCGCGGCGGAGGCGAGCTCGTAGCCATGGTAGGCCACCTTGAGCGTCGTGGTGAACTCGTTGCACAGCCCCTCCAAGATGCTCCGTGGCACAATGCCGACGGTGAGGTTGAACTCCAGGTCCAATGCGGGCCGGCCGCCCATGTCCGTCGCCGGGTCAAGACCCGAGATGCTGGCGACCGCTAGGGTGTAATTCGGATCTTTGTCCTGTATCGCCAGCCACAGCAAAAATGCGATGGGGACGGAGACGAAGACGAAATACGCCCCGCACAAAACACCAATCCCTGCCGATCTGTGGCCTTCCTCTCCCACGGCAGATGCAATCGCGTCCAGCTCCATTGCCTCGCGAGGATGGCTTGCTTGCTCGTTTGCCGGTGGGCGAGCGGCGTCCTTTTCTATGTCCATGGCCGCCCACGGCAGATGCTTCTCGTCCATGGTCTGCTCTGTCTTTTCTCTTCTTCTTCCCCAAGACCTGTTCTGCTTTGCTGCTTTCCCAAAACAAGAAGGGGTTGGGAATTAGAGTCCCTAGACTAGATAGTAGATATGGAAGTTGGCGTGGAGATCGGGATACATTAATTCCCTAACAAACTGTTTTTTCTTTTCTTTTGTGAGAACCATAACAACCCGATTCTGTATGTAAAGCTTGTTATCCACGCATTGCAAACAGAGAAAAAGAAGTATGCGGAAGAAATATTGAGCGCTCGTTCACGCCAAAAACTTGGAGACGGGGCATTTTTCTTTTCACTTCTAATTTTTGACCGTCTGTTTTCCTTTTTGCTTCAGGTTATTTTTCTTGGCCGCCCGATCATGTACAAATCTCAGAGCCCCAGTGTGCCTCATTTTTCTGTATCGCTCGCTCGCACGCATGTGTGTGTCCTTATTGCTTGCCTTACATAACTTTCCTCAATTTTCAGTTATCAGCCATTAGTTTGTTCTTAGTCTTTGTCATTTCTTCGTCTAGGTTTAGTTCTTAGCACCAGTCCTCACTTCTCAGTTTTCAGTCTCCAATTTTTAGATATAGTCTAAGTTTTCGGTCCTGTTCTATGTGCCTTATCAGTCCCGCCTTCAGTTAAGCATTTCCATTTATTACTTTAGTTTCTGTTTTTATTTGTATTTTTAATCATTCATTCAGCCCTTTGTTCTTTAGTCCTTACTAGAAGGGTTGGGACGTGATTTGCGCCGTTGGTGTTGTTGGATTTCTTAAAAAAAAGTTACTCACTCCGTTTCAAAATATAAGGCATATTAATTTTTTTAAAATTCTAACCTTCTAAGTTTAATCAAATTTGTACAGAAATATATCAAAATTCATGGTATCAAATCGGTATTTTTTTCTCTGAACACGGTTAGAGTTTCATAGTTTTTTTGTTTAATATTGTGGATGTCGATATTTTTTTGCTCTGAACATCGTTAGAGTTAAAATAATGTGACTTTCCAGAAAACTAATACTCGTTATATTTTGGAACTGATCGAATATTTAATTTGGCGGGCAGGGGACATGCCGGAGTGTGTTTTATTTATAAATGTGGTGATTTGATGGGTCTTTTGTGATGTGGTTTTGTGTTATCTGCTAACCAACGTATATGTATGTGTATAAATTTCAAGATTGATGTTTGTATGTACTATATTAGTGCAACAATATCACATGCTAGCGCTTCTTTCTTCTGTGTGGTGGGAGGGTGCACGGGATTGATTTGTTTTATAGGCAGATTGTTGCGGATTGATTTGAAAAATCATTTACCCGGTCAAAATTGCAAACTAAATCTAAAACTGAATACTTCATTGACTGAAAGAGTTTTAAAATGGGAACCTAGAAAATTGAAGGCATTGAATGGGAGAGCCCTTGAGAAATTGTTGACTCAATTCTAAATTGAAGGCCTCAACTAATTGTGAGGCCTTCAAAATTAGAAAGCATAGTGTATAGTATAAAACAATTGAATGAGGTAGCTTTGAGAAATTGTTGACCTAGCCAAAATCTGGTAACACAATCCTAATTGAAGACCTCAATTGAATGTGGGCTCATTAAAACTAGGGATCATAGCACGGGATTGATATGTTTTTATTGGGCGGTTGTTGATGATTGATTTGAAAAATCATTTGACTGGTCAAAATCGTAAACCAAATCCAAAATTGGATACCTGAATGAAATAGCTTCAAAATGGAAACAAAGGGAATTAAAAGAATTCAATGGGAGAGCCCTTGAGAATTTGTTGACCTGGTCAAAATTGGCTGACCCAACTCTAAATTGAACACCTCAACTAATTGTGAGGCGTTGGAAATTAGAGAACATAGTGTATAGTATAAAAGAGTTGAATGGGATAGCCTTGAGAAATCTTTGACCCGGTCAAAAATTGATACCCTAATCCCAATTGGAGAACTCAATTGAGTGTGAACTCCTTAAAAGTTAAAACTATTGAGCATAGTGTTATAGAGGATGTTTGCATCACTTTTCAGTGTATCATTTTGAAAACTTACTTTCTCCAGTCTTATTATTAACTCAATTTGTTTTCAATCTAATTCATATTTCAGTAGTTTCCAGTTATCCATTTTATTTGTCATATCTTTTTTACTTTTTTGCATTTCTTTTACTTTTGCTTGTATTTTGAAATATTCTGAGTATGTCTGTTGTAAAAATCACTTTATATACAAAAGTTGAGAAATATTAATTATACAATAAAAACTATTAAATGTGTATAGAAAAATATTTCCCGTGTGTATTAAAAAGTATAACGGGTATGAAAAAAGTAGAAATAAAAATATATAAGTTCAAAATGTTACTCATGAATTTAAAAAATATTAAATGTGTATAGACTTTCATCATGCCCCAGTTCAAAGCACAAAAAAAGTTTGAGCCCATTAACACTAAGCGCTGAATTTATTGTTTTAATTTCTTGACCTGTGTTTTACTACCAGTAAATTTTAGTTTCGGATCGAATGGGCCCAATATATGATGTTATGACTTGGGAAATACACTTTGGTTCCTGGTTGTATATACACCCTATATGCGGATTTTTTTTGAAATAATTAAACAAAAAGTCAGTAGTTCAGAAGTATTTAGAATAAACTTGACTTACTTTTGCACTAGTATATAAATTTTCATGAACAAAAGACAAACATTGACTTCAGAGCAAAAAATACAATATTTATTTGCTATTATAGGTTATTATTCACACTATTTTGGCCAAAAAAAATTGTCTTTTTTGAAAAGAAGTCAAAGGGGGGTTTTCTTTTTGTGTAATTTTTCTCACAAGTACAATGAAAGTTCAAGTTTATTTCAAAAACATTTTCAGATTTTTTTGACTTTTTATTGAATTACTAATTTTTTCCATATATTTTTTATTAGGGTATTTTTTCCATATACTAGAATGTAGATACACCCATGGACCGAAAGTTCCCCTCCGTTATGACTTGTGAAGCATGACTTCAGGCTATAAAGTTCTACATGACTTGATCAGAACGCAAGAGATATAAATCCCCATGCGCAAGCATCAACGCAAGGCAAGATGGAATCTGTGAAGGAGTTCGCCCACCGCCGCTTCCAGAAGCTAGGCCGATGGTTCCGCAGGGAGACCGCTGCCGGCGACGGCCTGCAGGTCTTCGCCCTCGGCCTGAACAAGCGGCTCGCGGACGACGCCGGCAGGAGCGGCAACCTGGTCTTCTCGCCGCTGTCCGTCTACGCCGCGCTCTCGCTGGTGGCCGCGGGCGCCCGCGACCGCACCCTCGACGAGCTGCTCGGGGTCCTCGGTGCGCCGTCGCAGGACTTCCTCGCCGGCCACGTCCGCGCGCTTGCCGAGCAGGTTCTCGCCGACTGGTCCCGGACAGGCGGCCCGCGCGTCAGCTTCGCGAGCGGCGTGTGGCATGACCGGACCATGCCCATCCGCCCCGCCTACCGCGATGCCGCCGAGTCCTTCAATGCCGTCGCCCCCGCCGTCAACTTCCGCCAAAAGGTCAGTGCAACACCATCTTCCGTTTTCCCATGGCCGATTTGTATTATGTAATTCTGTATACGATCGATCAATGTCAACGTGCATGCGTACCCGTGGTGCAGCCGGAGGAGGCGAGGAAGCAGATCAACGCATGGGTGTCGTCGTCGACCAACGGCCTCATCCCCTCCCTCGTCGGCCGCGGCGCGCTGTCCAACCTCACCGATCTGGTGCTCGCCAACGCCATCTACTTCAAGGGCAAGTGGGCGGAGCCGTTCGACAAGTATCTCACAAAGAATGACAAGTTCCACCGCCTCGACGGCACCGCCGTCGATGCTCCATTCATGCGCGGTCTCGGCATGCACAGCATCGCCTGCCACGATGGCTTCAAGGTGCTCCAGCTCCGCTACGAGGAAGGGCGCCGCACGATGTGGTCGCCCGAGCCAATTTACTCCATGTGTGTATTCCTTCCCGACGCGCGCGACGGGCTGTGGCGGCTCACCGACAAGATCGCCTGCAACCCCGACTTTCTGCGCGAGCATCTGCCGAGGAGCACCGTCCTTGTCGACGACTTCCAGATGCCTAAATTCAAGGTCACCTTCGGCATGACAATGAACAATGTTCTCCAGGAGATGGGGGTAAAGGAGGTGTTTGAGCTGGGGAAGGCCGACCTGTCCGACATGGCGGAGGACGGCGCAAGGAGGAAGCTGGCACTAGAGCAGGTGATCCACAGGGCCGTCATCGAGGTGAACGAGGAAGGCACGGAGGCCGCGGCGGCCACTTACTCGATGGCACCCATGTGCTCACCGAACCCAGCACCGCCTCCGCCGCGTGTGGACTTTGTTGCTGACCATCCGTTTGCCTTTTTTGTCGTGGAGGAGGTGTCCGGCGCGATCTTGTTCGCTGGCCACGTCCTTGACCCCACCATCAAGTGATGAAGCAGGGAGGAGCAACAATTCTACGCCCACGTGAACTTCTGAAATCTTTGCGTACGTACGTGTAGCATTCCTTGGGAGGAGAGGACCGTGCTTGCATGCTTGGTTTTTTTTTTTTTTGAACAAGGTGAGGCGTTCAAGGCGCCAAATTCCATTCAAAACAGTGCTCAAGTACATGCTTGGCTTTAAGTAAAGCATATCTACGGGATATCTGCGCATGCGGAAGCCGTTCATCTAGGAGTTTGTGATTGGTTAGTAGATGAAAAAAATCCTAGTCAGCGTGTAATTGCGTGTAACTCTTTGTATGTTTAGCATTATTGTTCATCTAGTTGGAGATTTGGTTACCAAAAATGCTCAACGTACGGGCAGTTTTCATGGAATCACTCGTACTAACGGACCTGCCCCTCCGTAATACGCCCCCACCCCCCTGCATTTGACGGTGGGGTCCACCTCCCCCAAATCAGTTCATGCCATCTCATCCAGCAACTTTTTTTTTGAGGGTATCATCCTGTAACTTCTAATCAGGAAAACTTGTTCGTAAGTCTAGCATCACGCGTTTGGTTACATGCATATAGATGGAGGGGGTGGGGATGCATATGCTAGAACTTTTTTCTATAGCTAGTTTTGTGGACAGATTCCATGTTATGCTCCACGTCTCCACCCACCCTGCCACCCATCCTTTTCATATGATTTCCATGTTTGAATTTAGTTTATCATTTGTACCAAAAGTCTATTTTGTAAACAATTTGAATATCTGTGTTCCTTGAGATAAGAACTTTGAAACAAGACCACTCTTGAATATATTTTGACATGCTTTAAATTCAAATTTCCGAACATGGTGAAACATGATGATGCAATCTAGAACATGAAAAACAAATGGGATGTGATAGGAACAAATGTTAATACAAACTCGTAATATTATGTCGGAAAACGCTTGCTTTTGCCAGGGAGAAAACCAATCGTGTATATCGCATGCCACGTGTTCCAGTGGGTCCCACCCATGACCCATCGCACGTCCTTATCTCGAGCGCGAGAATGTGAGCCATCCAATCCTCATTCTTCCTCAACATCATGATCCCCTTTCTCTCTGCTTTTTCTCTCTGCCCATGCGTGCTCGCCTCCGCCATGACGGATGCTGCTCAAGCTCCCTAGGACGCTCCAATGGATGCCATAGATGATGCACAAGCGAAGGCCGTTTTGCATTGCAACGCTCGTCAACGGCTGCAGCACTACCACGCAGCACTCACAACACTGCAGAGGCACTGCTGCTTTGATGCGGCGCTTCCCGGCGGTTGTCGGTGATGAAATGCAGCCTCACCGGTGTTGCGATGCTACCTCGTCGGTGCTCCGGAGCTGTTTTGCAGCGGCCGCGATGCTACAGAGATACATCATGTTCCAATGCAGCGCTTGCTGCGAGTGTTCGTGCTGCCATGCAGCTCTCCGGCGGCGCAGCCGAAGCTGCTATGCAGCGGGCGCAACGCCGCCGGAGTTGCAATGCAGCGGTGGAGCTCTTGTCGAGTGGCTACAATGCAGTGTTGGCGACGCTGCAGAGAGGCTATCTGTACTTCGATGTGGCACTCGTCGGCGGCTGCGGTATTGTGATGTAGCATCGACGGCTGCGGTGAAGCATTGCCGGGCCTCCGGTGATGCGTTGGAGCATCGCCCTGATGGATGTGACGCGAGAGGAGGATGCCAAGCTGGAGGAGGAAGACATGATGTTGTGATCCTGCAATGTGACGAACACACACGCCTGAATCAGACGGCTGATCTCTTTCTAAGATCAGCCGGCTTACGTGTAGCGCCCCCCTATTATGTCGGAAGCGCATTGACACAGGATGGGACATTTCGATATGCTCTTGAACATGAAGAATCACATCGAACCATTTTGGAATAACTCTAACAACTTTTCCCCTTTCCATAAAACATGGTAAAACTATATGAACACAGCGATGCACTCTAAAACACGAAAGAACCTATTGAAAATTGGTAAGGCTGTATGTTAAATACAAACTTGTAATATTATGTTTGAAGCACATTTATAAAATTTTACCCAGTTCCCTATGTATATGTATATAGTTTTTGTGGTTTGATAAAGTTTCATCATTGGTGAAAATAATAATGGAAAATGAAGTAAAAATAGCATTGATGATGTCATCAGACCGATTTAATTTTATTACTCCATATACTACTCCCTATGTCCAAATATTGACCGAAGTCATATCTAGCTGATGTTCGCTGGGAGAGTGATGGCAAATGGTGGTAGTTTTAGTTCTGAGACGAGATCAAATGGTGGCAGTTTTAAAAATTCCCCTTCCCCGATAGAAACTACCATCTCGCTCAGAAGAAACTTCCATCCCTCACAACCAGTGTTTTAAATAGCGGCGGGCCTGCAAATCAGCTATAGGGGAGCTATAGCGGGCTGTAGCGGGCTATTTTGTACATGAAATCATTTAGCAGCACCTTGCTGAAAAGGCTATAGCGGGGCTATAGCCGGCTATTTAAAACTATGCTCACAACTATAGATGCCAGCAAAATCATTTGCAAATGTTGCTTCTCCCGGCGAATCGTTCGACAGCTAAGGGGTCCAATATTTAAGGGTCCCATGTATTTTTAGATCCTTAACAAAATATAAGTTATTTTATTACATGTAAAATACTCCTATATGACTTGTTTTGGAATAAAATCCAACAATTTACTTTTTATTGCATATAACTAATATTTTGATAGTTAAATTGATGTCCTAAAGGTCGTTGGGAGGCTTATATATCTGGTCGGATGGAGTTCTCTCCTTCATACAACTACTTAGTGGAACATATCTAAACCTAAAGTTGTATATGATTTTAAAATGTGCAAATACTCTCTAGTGTTTCATATATAAAACTCCAAGATCTTCATTGTGGAAATGATAAGTTCTTAAACTAATGAGAAATAGAAGCTTACATAATTGTTTTATCTTTTCTTAATTGACATTGCATCCAAACAAGAACGGATAATAGAAGCATCTCCAATATCTATTGTGTCTTGACAGTATCACCCGTCTACCTTCCATGCCGATCAATATCTCCAATATGATGCCTCCAAACGTCAAGTGCGAGGACATGAAAGACATCTGGGCTCCGTGACGCTTCTAAGGCCTCTTCGAGTGCACATGTGGGCTCCGTGACACCTCTAAGGCCTCTTCGAGTGCACATGCCCGGGATTTCGGCAGCGCGTGGCCGCATGTCCCAAAAATCCGCATCCGTTTGCCTAGGGTATATCTAGATGTGCTCTAGTTAATGCACATCTAAGTAACTCAATCAAACTAGAAAGAAAAAAATACAAAATAAAATACTTGCACGAATCTTAGTGTAAAATCAATGACATAAGACTTGCATGTGCGATACTTAGAGCACATCTAGATGTGCTTTAGCAAAACTTTTAAAAGAAATCATCTTTTTAAAGCTTACGATATCTAAAAAACAGGTTCACATCTACATATGAATGATTTCGCCGTGAAATGATTTAAGACGTGAACTACACAAATTTATGGTGTTGGTTTTTAGGACACACAATGTTCACTATTAAAATCCGCAAATCTGATCCAGCAAGATGTAAACTCTATCTATATGGAGTATATAGCAGATCGAAATTAATCAAAGTTCCAACAATTACCCAAGAATCGTTACACAATAGTGTCCCAACAAGAAATTAATAGAAGTTCAAATGATGCCATTTACCTAGACTAAGAAACACTGCTTACAGGGTAGAAACAAGAGGTTACTGCCTGGTAAATAAGCACCAAGGAGTCTACTCCTAGATATAGGATACGTAAGCCGAGATTGAGCATGAGATACCATATATATTCATGAATTCGAGGACAGATTTTACATATCAATATTTCAGTAGGTAGAAAAGCCAAACTAAGCTTATTTTGCTGTCCTCCAATAACGCAAGGAACCTAGAAAACTTTGCCGGACTAACCAATACTCGTACGAGAGATGAAGTAGAAAATTTGACCTAGCGTCCGTAATAACCAGAATCTGCGGCACCTCCTCTTCACGATGCCTCATGCAGGCTAGGTCATGCCATCAGTGCGCACGTTCTGGGTGCAGCACGGCCACGTCGCACAAATCGCCGCCGCCGGCGTCACCGACCCGCCTTCCCATGCACGACACCAGCAACCCGTCGCCGCCGTGGCCGGCCCTCCGTCCTGTCTGGATAGCGAGCGTGACATCGAAGACTCCCGCCGCGCGCCGCACGTCCGCCGCGAGGCTGTCTAGCACGGGGCCGGGCAGCCACACGCGAGCGCCCCGCGCGACGACGGTCGTGCTCACCCTTTCGCCCCCAAGAACGCAGAGCTGGGGCGCCACCGCGGAGGCGAGCTCGTAGCCGTGGTACGCCACCTTCGCCGTCGTGCTGAGCTCGTCGCACTGGCACTGCAAGGCGCGGCGTGGCACGATGCCGACGGTGAGGTTGAACTCGGGGTCGAGCGCGGGCCGGCGGCCGATGTCCGTCGCCGGGTCGAGGCCGGAGACGGCGGCGATTGCCACGGTGTAAATCGGGTCCTTGTCCGTTATCGTCAACCACAACGAAAAGATGATGCCACATTGAAAACGAAGCCGACGACCGGACCGTACAAAACTCTAAATAAACCAATCGCCGGAGATGCTTTCCCTGCTGATCTGGGGCCCCCCGCTCCCACTGCCGATGCAATCGTGTCCAGCTCCATTGCCCGGCGCGGACGGCTTGCTTGCTTTGCCGGCGGGCGAGCGTCCTTTTCTAGGTCCATGTCCATGGCCACCGTCGTGGATGCTTCTTCTCCCTCCCTCATGTTTACATAGATCTAGGGGAGAACCGGAGACATCCGTAGGGAGACGGGTCTATTTGTTTTTTTTCTTGTCTTCCACGAGCTGCACTGCTTTGCAGCTTTCCTCAAAGCCAGAAGGCGTTTTGGAATTAGAGTCCTCCCTATATTCGATGAAAAAACCGATCGGAATCCAGTGCCCAACAAGATCGGAATC